TTTAGCAGTATTTTTTTTCCTTGGTGAATTCTCGGCTGTCCGGGAGACGCCGCGTCGTTGGCTGGGGTGCCGACGTTTCGCCCGACATTTCCGACAACGTCGGCACCCCAGCCAACGACGCGGCGTCTCCCGGACAGCCTAGAATTCATGGATTCGAGCCGCGGAAGCTTACGTACACATTTACCTTGGTGGTTCAATTAGCGTGGGCAGTCTCGTTCGTGAAATCTACTGGCACTGCCCGACCTACTTCCCCTCTCCGCTTCCCCCACTGGGAGTCAGGTCTTGCAACATTAAACGCAATGATGCCCGCATGCACAGTTTAAAATTACTTTAACACTGATCATATGAAACAATTATAAAACAATATTTACACTGATCATTAATTCAGTGCTGACTAGTTAAACGTTTATCATATTAACTTTAATTCCTAAATATGGAGATAAGTTGAATATGAAACATCAAGTTTGAAAATATATAATTTCTTGAAGCAAAGTTAGAAAAAGCTTTGAAACTCTTCTGATTTAACAGACATTTGTTTTCCAAACAAATTATTGGTGGGATTAGAATCGTCAAAATACATCTGAGTACTGCTTCAAATGTTCATGTACTTACGATCACATTCGGGATTAACTAGTTTTCCCGACAAGTTCTATAAAAGTAAGACATTAATTTTCAAAATTCGAAATGTTTCATGAATATGTTAAACTACAAAATTGCCATATCCTTCCATGTTTTTAATTTCTCCTTACAAGTAAAGGACACTTTATCAGAACTGAACCGATATTACTCAATTCTGGAATGAAACCATGCTCTTCAGCAATTCAAAATGAAAGCGCGAATTATTTATGTCATCTGCTGACAGACTTTATGAAAAATTGAAATTAAATTCAGCTCGAAATGCATTGTTTTACTTATGTCAACAATACATGACGTCCTCTTCTGAACAGTACACGTGGATCAAATTCGGGTTATTTAACCCTTCAATCTGGAAATTGCATACATCTAAAACACAGATTCTGACGAAAACGTAGTATGCTCAGAGTAGCGATGTCAAGGTCTTCTACTGGTGGCAGTGGCACGGTTCGTGGCTCCACGGCGATGACACGAACTTCTCAGCACAACTAGGACCGGGAAAGGAAACTATCAGTAGTAACCCTGCCGTTTTCCGATAGTAAATGGGTAAAAGTAAAAATAAAATAAAAACTAAAGTAAAAATATAAATAAAAAATAACAACCAACATTCTAAACTACCTTCTGCCCTCTAGTGGCGCGTTGATCAACTGTGTGTGATTTTGTTGTGCTACCCGTGCTACGGACTCCCGCAGATAGCATCGACCTTGACATCACTAATTTAGGGCAATATCTGAGAGGAACCGTGAATTGCTACACTTTTGTTCTCAAAATATTATAAAACTCCTCTTTGATGTGAATAATTTAATGAAGCGCCTATTACAGCATTATTTTAACGTCTAATTTCTCTTAAATTTTATAATTTACAACTATTCCTTTTTGCGCATTATGTATTTCTGACATTTATTTTCTTTAACTGTGCAGCTATCATTACCAGCAACAAGCAGTTTTATTTTGATCTACTAATGGAAATGTGGTTTCTAATGTTTCCACGTACCACTCAAGATAACCGTGGATCATGTGCTTTTGAAAGCATCTTCCTGGCAGAATTGGTCCATGGCAAGATATTAGGAATGAACAACTGGATCTTCTTCAGCTCCCAAGAAGCCAAAAAAAACGCTGATTATATGGGCTACAAAAAAATAGTGAATCTAGGAGAAGTGAGTTTTTTTCGTAAAAATAGAATAATGGTACATTTAATTCTATCATAATCTTCGACACTAACATAATGAAGTTCATGCACAGTAGCAACTACTTTCCTGAAAATAATATTATTTTACAGAGAGGAGCCATTGTGAAACTTCGGTATAAATGGTTAGATGTGGTGAACCCTTCAGGATACATGTTTGTGGGCACTAGTCCTGAATTTGAAATGGCTCTCTACACTATATGTTTTCTCTCCAGACCAAACAGACCTTGTCATCTCTCTCTTGAAGGCCAAAATGTCACCATCAGAACGCAGTTAGTCTCCTTCGACAATGAAACCTATTTGGGAAGAGTATCCTTTAGCATTTGAAACTTCCTTAGTTTTATACTTACATTTCCTATTCACCGTAGTTTGCACTACTTATTGAAAGTAAACAAAAACGCTACCGTGCAAAATGCCGTAATGTAAACTTGAATGAAAGAAACGATGCAAACTGATAATGAATTTATGTGAGATATTTGTAATTGCAGATAACAATAGGTATTTGCAATAACATAAACAATTGTAATACAACTGTATACACAATAAATTGTATATAGTTTTATTTACAAAAATTACTCCCTTCAATTAAAAAGTAGGTAGTAAGTATTAGTAAGTATTAGTAAGTATTTTTAGAAAGCTACTAGTAAAAGCGGTTCGTTCGAGCCTGAATGAAGTGCTAGAAGTTCAAATTTAGCATTACTGCTAAAAGTGAGATGGTACTCGTTTTCAGATAAATCTGTCAAAGCAAAAACAAAACAAAATACTTTAGTGTTGCGGCATCTACTACTACTGAAATTAGCCTATCATTGAGTTGTATACGTGAATTAAAATAAAATGGAAGTCAGTAAGGCTGTCTAAACATTAGTGTACGACACATGCGGTAAAAATGTTTTTAAAAAATAGCTCCAACGGTTTTTATTAAACTTTGTTATTTGATAGTTAGAAGGATGTATAAGACAATGGTGCAGGTCTCATGATCTTTAAAAATCATAAGTTTTCGAAAATTGCAAATGTTCAAGATTTTTTCGGCGTCTTCCTAAAAATAAAACATTACCGCTGCGACAACGCACGTAAAGCGCGCCAGCGGACACATAACTACAATCCCGAAAGATTATACTTGCTGCGAACCTCATACTAATACGAACGAAAATGCTACGAACATGACTAACGAATTAAGGACTGGGATTATGGAATATATCCATATGGCAGTGTTCGCAATTAGCACACAAAGAAGCTGAACCTGGTTAGTGAGTTCAGAACAATATAAATCATCTGTCATAAAAATACTTATGAATGCACACATATGTTTAACATGAAATAGTTATTGGTTAGTAAATTAAGTACTATTATTACGTATTTGTGAATTGCAAAAGCGCAAGTGGAAAATAATATGAATGATTTACTAGTTATGCTGAAACTGTAACAGATTGATGAATTTTTGTAGGAAAATGCTTTATAGTAAAGGAGAGTGAAAGCATTCGTTTAGGTGGTGATGAAATGATTGTTTAAATTAATGAGAGTAAGTTCAACACTGATGTACAAAATTTTTAAGATACTATAATTGTCCAAGTGGTTAATGGCACCTTTCTGCCTGTCACTATTTATCAAGGGCCCTAAAACAAGTACTCGAATTTAATAAAACACTTTAATTATATTCAACGTCAAGTAAAATTGGCGATACAAATAAATTTCAAACTTTTCTTTATAAATACACGAGCAGAAAAAATATGAAAAAGAGTATGTTTTACAATGTGGCAGTTGATTGAAAGTATTGGCATAAGACATAAAATTCCAAAAAAATAATATACGTGAATGCATGTATTTTAGATTTTTAGTTTACATTTGATTATTAATTTAAGTTACTGAGTGAAATTTGAGGACGGAAGGTAAACCTAACTGAAAAAAATAAATATTTTTTTACTGAGAAAGTGAGTGAGAAAGACCGGGTATTTCCAAAATGAAGTAAGACAAGGAGGGGTGATGCAGGGCTGAGCGGGGATATAACAGAATACATTGTAGACAACACCACAGAGCGGGAATATGATAACTATCCCGGCAACGCGGGGTACTCGAGCAAGTCGACAATAATACCACCTCAAAAGCATTACTAACCTAAGTCTGACCCCCAGACAAGTGCGGAGTAATACGTGGCCTATGGTAGATATTTGCCTGTACGGCTAAAATACAACCAAAACTTTACGACATCTATTTAACCACTATCATCACATGAGTCAACTGGCATAGCGTAGTGCCACCCTGGGTGGCAAAATTTCACAATAAATAATAATAATAACAATAATAATAATAATAATAATAATAATAAATAACAATAAAATCTTATAAACATTTGAACCATTTCATATTTTTGTTGCACCTACGATCCGGACTGATTGAAATGAGCATGGAATATTTCATTACTTATTCTCTGACAACTTCTTTCAATGAATTTATAATAATGTCATCTTACTCGTAGCGACTGGCAATAACATCCATATTGACTTGTAGGGATCTCCCATATGGTATTTCGTGCTTGGATTGTTTATAACTAATATTCAACGAGAGTGACACCTATCATACAAAGAACAGTGTTCAATATTATTATTATTATTATTATTATTATTATTATTATTATTTAGAATTACTGCTAAAGGTCGTTAGAATGATCGTATATTTTGGTATTTCAAATTGAAATACTTAAATAATGTGGCAGAGAATGTTTCCTCCGCCCCGGGCGGCTGACACCCACGCTACGCCACTGAATTAGTCATTGTGTCTCATAATGGAATCTCAATCAAATCTAATAATTTGTCGGCTTGTGGATGTTCAGATCGAACTGCTATTCTTAAAGTTCGGAGGCGGTAGATTTATAAAGGGGGAAAACAATTAAAAGAATGGAAAGTGTAGTCGGTTATCTGAAGTCGATCCTTTAAAGGTATCTCACCTTTCTGCTCCGTCAAAACTAGAGAGAAAGACAGAAATACGGAAGAGAGAGAATTATAAAAAGTGAGGGAAAGATAAAAGTGGAGAGGGGTGACGAGGGTAACCGGCTTCGAGTGGGAAAACGCCCTTGGAAAACAATATACCAAGTAAGCGTTTGTTTTACCCTTGCCCGTAACTGCAAAAAGGGGCTAGCGTGCCGTTACACCTGTTCGCGCCGCCACGTGAAGGAGGAAGCGAAGCGATGCGGTTCGGTGCGGTGCGGTGCGCGCCAGAGGGCCGGTGTGCGCAAGTCAGCGCGGAGATGACCAGGCCGGCGTCCGCGCAGTTCTACCAGGCAGTTATTGGCAGAATGGCCATGAGGACTGACACGGCCTCCCATCTGCTAGTGCTGCTGTGCTCCGTCACTGTCTACGGTGAGTATTTCGATTCGCAGTTCTATGCTTGTTGACGGCTTTGTCACGTACTCCAATAATTTACTAGAGGGGGGCTTATAAATGCGCATAACGCGCCTTCCTCTTTGTTACCAGTTGTACAATGTTGAGCGTAGTTTTAGTACTCTTAGTGTAGTTCAAATTCATTACCTTCCGCGTGTAGTGGCCAAGAATGGAGACATGAGTAGCAGCTGTTTTCAAGGTAGGGTAAGGCGAGATAGTAACGACCGCGCAAGCGGGCAAGAGTGCTGAGATAATGTCCGTACAACAGGTACTCTAATGTAGTTTATTGCTTGCCCTTGCATTTTATCAGAATTAAACGTAAATAGGCTGTGTGTTATGGTCGTATTTTTAGGTCCGTTTCTTTTTTAAGTAGCAGGCATTCTAAGAGTCAGAACTACAAAAGAAAGATAAGCATTTAATTTAGAAATGTAAATGATGAAGGTAAATGAAACACCATAAGGCATTTTAATTTATGTAAATAAATCCTATACGTATCTTTACTTTAAAAACTGCAATCTACATGTAAGTCCCAAGTAGTCCAAAAAAGTACCCGTCACGGCCCATCACATTGTGATGCCAATATTAATAAGATATTTCCAAATTATTATTTAATTATAAAATTAAGGAAGAAGTTCATTATTTTAGATCTAATACTCACTACTAGAGGGCATAGGCTGTCCATTATGCAAGTTCGAAGCTTGGAGGAAGCCACCTATGTTTATTTTTCAATTTTTCTGCTTTAAGGGGTCACTTCTGACGCAGTGAACATTACTGGTGTCAAAATTTGAATCAATCAAATAAGTTTACGTACTCAATTTTCCAAACAAGGCAATAAATACGATTTATTAAAAAGGCATTAAGACTGATCAAATCAAATTACAGATTTATTTTTAAATACTTAATTTTGAAACCACCAAGAGTGCTGTAGTCGCTAATGTGAGTCTGTTTCTTAAAACCAAACGGTGATAAACTACATTGCATTTGTTTGTGCACAAAAAATGTTGTGAGACCCAAAGACTTGACACATGTTTCTCTATGTATGTCGACACACTGTATTCGAATCTAAAGCCATTACTGCGCACCACTCTCCAGATTTGTTTAAATCGCGAAAGAAACTGGAGGGTGGTGGAGAAATTCTGGCTTCAGAATCCGATTCAGCGCGTCGACATACACAGAGAAACATTTTTCAAGTCTTTGGGTCCCTACAATTGTGTGTGTGTGTGTGTGTGTGTGTGTGTGTGTGTGTGTGTGTGTGTGTGTGTGTGTGCGCGCGCGCGCGCGCGAGCGCGCCTGTGTAATTCATTTTGACGTTGATTTATTATTGCTCCACACTCTCACGGAAGTAGTGTACCAACTTATCTCATGCCAATGCCAACCTACCCGGAGGCTTGCGGCAGCCAACCCCATTTTTTTTATTACGTTTAACGATTCTAAAAGTCCGAAATCAAACATTCACGAATACAAAAAACACGAGGTATATACGGTTAAATAAATATATCTTCCATCGATACACTCAAACTAGTCCAAGCCAAACCAAAATTGAGTAAAACATCTAAAACTACCAACTGATGCCAATCAAACCCGGTCTCCCCTACTTTATAGTATTTTATAAGGAAGATTAAAGAAGTTCGAAGATTTAGAGACGAGGGGGAGATGCTCCTTCTCTCTTTGGCTAGGCACATGCTTCCTTACCATTGTTTCCTAGAAGACCATCTGGTGTGGTAGAGGATATCTATGTCGGATGTCGGGGTTATCATGTGCACCAACTTCTTGTCACTTCGTTTTGTCCGTTGTAGGGTGCGACATCGAGTTCGATGTTTTCAAAACATCGTTTAGATAGAAACATCGATGTACCAAACATTGATTTGTTATGAGAGATGTTTTAACATCGATGTTCAGTGCTCGATGTCTTTGCGTTTTACATGTCTTGTTTGAGAATGAAAAGTCCCAAAATCACAGTTTGTAAAAGTTGAAAATACGAAATAAATTATAACACCACTGTCAGAGACCAGGGGCGGCTTCAGAGATTTTTTCGGGGGGAATTCAAAATGTTTTGGTCGAATGTCTCGTATTACAGATTTTGTAAAATGTTTTAACCTACACTTAGCTCATGCTGCAATACGATTTTATTCGTTTTAATGATTATCCGAACATATGAGGTTGAAAGTTTCGTAACAAGTTAAAATTAATAATTAGTAACAAATTTTAGTGTGTGTGTGTGTGTGTGTGTGTGTGAAGGGTGATTTCCCTCCCCATGGATCCGCGCCTATCAGTTCATGTATGTATTCGAACAAAGCAAACGCTGTCACTAGTACCTTCAACCAGCAGACTGCCTGAGGGATTACCCGGATTATTTCCTACCCCTGTCCTCGTATTGCACACGCGGAGACGCGGTCAAAACAAGAAAAAATCCATCATACAATTCCATCCATACCTTCCTACGGCGAAATGAGGAAGCTCTGACTCTGGCGTTCAGGCTCAGTTTTGTTAAATACTATTTTTGCTACGTTTTGTCAGTTATAGTTAATTATGAATGAACAAACAAGTCCATTCTTAAAATCTCCCCCACGCCAACAGTAAAAGTTGAGGTAACTAGGTCAATTTTAAAAACATCGATGGTTTATGAGCGACATATTATTAACATCGATGTTTCAATATTCAACATCGATATGTTGTTGTCGATATCAAATCCCTAGTCTGTTACGGCACCGAGGCGTACTATGCTCCATACCATGACCAAAAGACATGGGTGAGATATTGCGCATCATATCCGACTTCACGCAATGAACTTCAGGTATCGATTTGCGTCACAATATAAGCGGGAATTTTAAATGAAGCCAGATACCAAAATTATCACCATTTTACAAGACATTGAAGTAGACACATGAAGCTTTTTTTATATTGCTTTTTTTTAATTTCAAATAAAACCTTCGTGTTATTTTCGGGGGGTTACCGTTGAAAATTGTCACTTTCGCCACTTTCAAAATGTTTCTCAACACTTCTCCATGCAACATTGCGGCCAGCGTTTGGTCTGGCTTTTCAAAGAAGTGCTTGTTTTGCGATCACATGGTTCGTGGCATAACGTACTGGTCCTGCGCAGAACGTGCAAAACTCGGTGCGACGGACGAGCTCACCCACGTCTTCTCATCATGATCATCATTCGCACAGGGCAGAGCCGGCCGTTGGTGATCGGCACTTCGAATTGAGTTCCTTGCGAAACGTTTCGGGCGACGCTACCCCGCGCCTTGTCGGTGCCTAGTTGTCTGCTCCCTGCCTAAATCGTTGCCTTTTAACTCGCCGTTACCACTATTACAGTTTTACTTACAATAAAAAAATAATGAAATAAGGGATATTACAACATTTTTATTACCATTTTATTCTTATCTCGAATCATGTACTATTATTGTTCCGTCCACAACACAAAGCCCTCGCGCAAAGGCGAGTGGTCGCTCCCTCCCTCCGAGGGCGGCCGCTCCCGCAGGGTGCGCCCGCCGCACCCACGCCACACCCGCGCCGCCGGTCCCTCCCCCGAACGGCGGCTCTCCACGGTTTCCCCAAGGGCTGCAGCTTTCTCGCTTGCACCGCCACGTTCACTTGTGCCAAGAGAGACGGGCGAGAGGCACAGGCCACACCGTCTGCCTAGGGCCTTTTCGTTGAGCAGTCTCCGTGCTCATGATCAGAGTTCACAGTATAGCTCAAAACGCTTCGCGCACGTATATAAAAACCGTTTCCTTCGGCACGTGTGGAAAGTACTTGTGAACCTGCCATTGGTGGGTACTACAGTGTGGTACGGACAGATCCGACTCACACCGTCAGTCACCTGCTGGGGAGAGACTGTGTGTGCCGCAAACACATACTCCTGCTGTCAGGGCCCACCTAGGGCCAGGTCGGTGGCCCAGCTGCTGGAAAGACTCTGCGACCAGCGAAGTGTGTGGGACGCCTGCATTCCCGCTTTGCCCGGGAGATGAGCAGCTCTGAGGTTCACGCATGCCGCAGCCACCCAGCAACAAGTATTCGGCAAAGCCGTATGCCCATGGACGTGTAGTGCGACAAAGTTCACGACGCCACTTTCACGGTGATAATTAACATACACGTAACAACAATCCTCCATTTTATATCATTTATTCACTTTCATTTCTGTAAATTAACATTTCATTTGTCATATCATCCCATTCACGTAGACAAGAATTCTAATATCAATAAATCGTATGTGAAAGGAAATTCGTGTAATTTTGTCATCCTCCGCCTCCCTTCTTAACCAGCGCTATCCCTCTCCCCTCCCCCCCGGGCACCTCGCGGCCGGTGCGGTGTATACAATACTTTGTATAGAGAAGGTCGTTTCAGTCCACTAGCGCACCCCCTCCCACGTTCTAGGGATTCTTCCCCCTTCTCTGTACAATTATAACAATTGTGTCAAGTATCTGCTTTGTTTCTTGATTCCTCTCATTTCTTTGTTTGCTTAGGAGCCCCTTCTCGTGGAGTCTCAGACGACGCTCTACGAAATATCTCGGAAACGTTGTTGGCGAATGACGTAAACAATGCTGCAAAACACATTCGAATCAACTATCAATCGCGCACTGATTCCAACAGTGCCACTGACGATGCTCCTGACCCGTAAGTAAATATATTACTTTCAGGAACAGCATTTAGTTTCAGAAGTTGCTGTCGGAGCGGAAGCTTGAAAGTCGTTTAAAAGTACTCTACAGTTGTTTTTTTTACGATCACAATTAACTTTCAACAAACAGCAAACTCATCACACAAACATCAAACAAAATTCACCCAAACCAATAATTGCAGTCCCCCCGAGGTATCTATAAAATAATATTATATTTCGAATGAAATGAAAGGGCTAACTATGACGATTTTGGTTGTTAGGTTTTTTCACTTCAGAGATCATTTCGAAAGAAAAATCGCCGAGAGCATCACACAACCAAAGCTGATGACCTCAGATAAGACAACGAATAGAAGCAGTCTTTACACAACCTACTGATTTGAAGCAGGCGGAAAAAGACGAAATACGAGGAACTTCCGGCGCGTTCGGCTCTAGACTAGTGAAAAACAAGAAACACGCGATCCACTTCAGCAGCAGTTTGGCCCCAATTGGACAAGCATATATTGTGACGTCATGGATACTCACAGCGACCACAGAAACACAGAGCTTTCATATAACAAATATATTTATTAACAAGAAAACAAAACAAATATATACACTTAATAATCTACTTACACCCTAGCTCTGATAGACCTACTATCCCCTGATCGCGGGAGCGATCCAAAACCCGATTGAAGATGGTTTTGATTGTGGCATTCGCCACTCCTACTTTTGAAGCGCGCACAAAGCCTAGCTTCCGTGACCGGATGTCACGCTGGGACACAAAGTCCGTTCTGGCGCACCAACGGCTGGTTTGCCTCGATCGCAGGAGCGATCTTATCCGATTGAGAATCGGCGTGAATCGTGGCACTCAACCACTCTTCACCTCGGAGCACGCACACAGCATTGTTCCCCCGTGACCGCAGTCACCCAAGGACCTAAAGTCCGCAGGCGTCGTCAACTAGTGACTCGAGCCTCGCGAGCCTGGCTCGCATATGCACCGTCGTGGCGCCACGTTTTGTGCACACGCACGAGGTTCTCCCACTGTCTCCAGAACCCACCCACTGGCTCTGTACACTCTGTTATATAGGCGAGGCCCACGTGACCTACTACGTCACGCCACCCCTTCGCTTGTTTTAACAGTGAAAATTTTCTAAAGGCCGGAAGACTCCAAAGCCTTGTGTCTCTCGTTTCCGCGTTCTTGCCTTTACGGAAAAACCCTTCCTCCTGTGGCGAGGCTAATCCTCTACCAAGCGTCCCCAAATAATGGCACGACGCACGCTGGTTAATACGTTACAATATGATGGTTCTTCAGATCCTTCTTTGCGCCATTGACTAGAAAAAATATTTGCCACCTCAAATCACAAATTTGGTGATTTGAGGTGGCAAATATATCCAGTTATTTGCCACCTCAAATCACCAAAAGATCCATTGATTGAAAAGTAAAGAAAATGAAGTAGAAAAGAGAAAGACTCTCAGCCTCAGGATAATGAGGACAAGAAATAAAGACATTCATGAAGGTTCTCGGATCACAAGATGGTTGAAAGCGCCACATTGTGTAGCAACGTTGCTTTAATGAAAACACTTTCGAGTAGAGGCATTTCATTTCAAAATTTGGAGTAGATTTTATATTCAACCGACTCTTAACTCATATCTTTAGTAATGAATTACGGAAATAAAAATAATAATAATAATAATAATAATAATAATGATTCTTATTATTATTATAATAAATATAAATAAAAATATAACTCAGGTGGTCAATTTTTCAGACTTCTCACTGTTGCATCAGAAGCTCTCAACATATCTACAGTTTCAATGTTACGAAAAACATTTGATAACTACGTAGCAGACACTAGAGTTAATGAGCAAATAACAGATGAAGAAATGAACGAAGAAAATAATCTTTTAAATGCCTTTATAGCAACTCCTATAATGGAACATACATCAGTTTTTATCTAGCTACGGTAAAAGGACCTAATTGAATATTTATAATTAATGTTATATGTGTGAATGTGATTTAGTTTTAAGTTTTAATATGTACCTGTGGTATATATATATATATATATATATATATATATATATATATATATATATATATTCCACTAAATTGTAACCTTGGATTTTTGTAGATTTCATGACAAAAGATCCAAATGCCTTGAAGAACCTTTTACGAGATCTATGGTTTTCAATGTATTCTCGTAGTGGTGATACAATGGGATCAAGTGGTTTTGAACACGTCTTTCTGGGCGAGTTGAAGAAAGGAAAAGTTTCAGGAATGCATAACTGGATCTTCTTCACTACCGAGGAAGCCAAGAATACTGCAAACTATATGGGATATTTAAAAAAACTAGATCTAGGGGAAGTACGTTAACTACACATAGTAATTATAAGTATAATTTCAAGTGATCTTATGAGAATTATTGTATTTTCAAAACGTGTAACTGTGCTATGTTTTGAGAATACTGTTTCTTTTACAGAAAGGCGATGTCGTGAAGATTCACTACAAATGGTCTAATGCTATGAAACCTGTAGGTTCAAATGTTTGTGGGTACTAGGCCCTGAATTGAAATGGCGCTATAACAAATTTGCTTTCTCGGCCAGAGCCAAATGGAAGATGGCAATAGTCATTTGGCGAACAAAAGCTGTCACTATTCGAACCATACATTTCGTTCCAAGGGGAGAAGACTGTAATTTGGAAGTGCATTCCCTGGATAATTTGAGAAATGGTTGAGGCGTATTTTCAGAACTGCTACTTTCTACCTTAATACCTAATTTTTACTCACACCATAAAATAATAATTAAGTTATTTTATTGTGAATGTGTTTCAGAAATTAATAAAAAATGTCTCATGCTGTTAATACAATCTCTAATATATAAAATGTCAATTATGGAATATATTGTGCAAAATATATTTACGATGTGAACCAAATGCTTTGATGTATCCAATTTAACCTTGCAAATACGAGAACCTGAGTAAAAAATAAAAATTATTTTTTTTATTTCACATCAGACCATGGTCTTCTATTCCATGAAAGTGAGTGTTTGTGTATAAAAACTAGTTTTCTATTTCCCATCACAAAATCTATTACATGAAAGAGAGTGTATCTTTGCATGTACCACAAAAAATGTAAAACCACTGGAGTGATAGCTCTCAAATTTGGTTCGAATATTTTTAAGAAGCCAATTATACAAAATGCCTAGTTGCGTTTCAAAATGTGTGTTTTAATTGTATTCAGTGAAATGCAATCCCTAATGCCTCTGGGCGGCGTTGATGCCTGGCATCAACGGTTGGCGTGGCGGGTAAGAGCGGGACCAGATCGTTTGGCGAGGGGCGAAAATGAGAGGGGTGAGCAGCATACGGGGCGAAAACAGCTTGCGGAGCAGAACGTGCAGAAGCAGAGAAAAAGGAGTCGCCGTCTTTCCCCAATGGCAGAAGGAGCAGAGAAGTGTGAGGAGGCGGAGCGAAACAGTGGGCCGACGCAGAAGACAAGCGTAGCGGAATGAGAGGAGAAAGCGGCCAAGACGTGACGAGCGGGAGGAACAGATAGATTGATTACTTGATTCCGGGTGCGACAATGGATAAGGTCGTTATTCCCTTAAGTGTAGTGTATGTTTTGTCTGCTCTGGAGATGGCGGTGATCTTACACCGCTGGATGCGGCGAGATCCAGCGCCAACGTACCGTCGGTTAGCGTAGTTTTCCCCAAGCAGGTATTTCCCACCAGCGAAGCTCCACCCCAGGGACAGACTAAGCTCCTGACTGATCTCCCGGCATGGGTGGTAGTGAATTACATGTAACTGTGTGTAAGGGGTAAGGATAGGGCAAGGAATGGGATGGAAAGATCGCGAGCGGTCCGTGGCCCGTTTGGTTGGGTACTGCTCTGGCATTTGCCTGGTATTGATCGGAGAAACCAATGGAAAATACCGTTCAGAGCAGCCAGCCGATAGAATTCTCCTGCAGGTAGAGACCGAACTCGGCCTAACTATCTGGCTAGTGTTGAAAATTCCTACCTCCATCGGGACTCGAACCCCAGGATCTCTCGGTCAGAGGCACTCCAGTGACATCAGTTAAAGCCCAAGAGCCACCTCTCCCGATAGGAACAGAAAGAGCGCAAGGGCCGAGAGGTGTAGACAGGACGGCCATTGTCTCCACTAGGGTCAATTCTAGCAAATCTGAGCCTGCAAAGGCGCGATAGGACCTAGAGTTACCTCCATTGTCAGATGTGTAACACCATCACACATACTCCAAGGGATACGAACACTCACAAAACCCGTACCGTATAGAATATTGTACGGACAAGAATTCCAAATGGATAGTAAGATAGCAACAAACAAACAGTATATTATTGAAAGAGTTTGGGAGAAAAATCGAGCCTACTTGTTGATATTCCTGTACCATATAATCCAAACAATCACAACGATGAAACCAAGAAGACAGAGAAACGCCTTATATACCAAAATTTTAATATTGAGACCAGCCGGATGTGGGCGGGACATTGGTCGTACCAATAGTTATCGGAGATCTGGGATTTGTTTCGCAAAATGTATGCAAGAATTTTTCCAAACTTCCAGGTCACTCGAAAGATTGAGAAATGTCGCGTTATTTGGAATAATGCATATTTTGCTCAAAGAATTGTAGAGTCACACAGACCTTCTTCTTACGAAACAGGATGCAACTTGGAGTAGGTTTTATATTTAACCATCATCAAACATATTTGTTGTGAATTTAGGCGATAACAGTGAGAAGAGGAATAATAATAATAATAATAATAATAATAATAATAATAATAATAATAATATCCTTATGAATAATGCAACAGAATCCTTTGATATTGAAAATATCAAGGGAAATTATGAAGAAAGAAGAAACAATGAAGACCCACATGCGAATTATGAGTGGTCTCTGAGACGAAGTCCAATGAATCCTGCCTCCCTATGCCTGTGCAGTTATCTTGGACTTGCCATTAAGATGCCATGAAGACATTGAATATAATTTCTAATGCACGCAAATATTGAAAGAAAACCAGGGCGCCTTTTAAGAGGCATCTATGGTTTCGCGAGATACTCAGGAAGTCGGGGAAGATACAAAATCATCTATAATGCTAATTTCCAATGCGCGCAGAACCAAAGAAAAGTATGCATCCTCACGCAATATGAGAAGTGTCTATGGTTTCGTTAAATACTCAAAAACTCGGGGGAAAATAAAAAATAATGGATCCACTTCGATTTTTATTCAAAAAAGCAAATACGTGATTGCATTATTCCGCCTTCTCTCATTTTCCGCGTGACGACTGAATGCTCATACGCCCTGCTCACGATGCAGCTGACGTCTTGTGGAAGAAAGAAGCTTCATTATTCACGAGTACAGTTTCAGAACTGCAAAGTGCTCCACGATCCCATTTTCCAAAAACTCGACATCAGTATTTTTGCTGAAATGGGCATACATGGAAATACGCATGTATGTATTTTAGGTCGATTGTCCGACTTTGACGGCCCCCATGTATGAGCCTAGTTTAATTGAGAGGTAAGAGAGACGTATGGCAAACACGACATACAAGTATTGTGTACATACTTGTATTCCCTTCACGGTAACTATCAAACTCCGGGTGCCTGAGCTTTTCTTCGACACACAGATACAGAAACTGAGATTATTTTAAAGGGAAATTTCTCTTTTTGCCCCGACCGTGAATCGAACACAGGATCGCACGGGGAACTGGTAAGCTTCCCATGATTCCCCTTAGGGCAATGGAAATACATATATGCATATATAACCTACTAGTGTAGTGGATGCGGGATTGCAAGTTGCGAATTGCAATGAAACAATTAAACCTTCAACACATCACACTTAATTAACGGTAAGATGATAATGAGGGTGAATATGAGAATGCAGGTATGTGATGAACGATCACAAAACATTTACAATTCAGATTATAGATCCCGCGGCTTATTAAACTGAACAAGGCAATACAAAAAAGTCAATTATCTGCTGCAACCAGAAACAAGCCGCCCTGTGGACAACTATTTTAGAAGCCGGCTCCCTTTTTTGAAAGTCTAACCGGCATATTTCAGCAGGGGAAATCGCTGACGGTGACTCTACTGACATCCGTCCGTGAAGTTGTTCTTCTATTCCTGATTGGTGCGGTGGCATAATCGCGGAGCAACTGAACGACGGACGAGCTCGTGGCGCGACAGGTAGTATAGGAGACAGCGCAGGCCTCGCCACGTTGCCGTCGACCCCCAAAAGTCGTCGTTCTCTCGATCACCCAGCTGATTTCTCCAATCAACACCAGGCGGATACCAGGGCAGTGACCCAAGAAACGGGCCACGGACCTCGCGCGAACTTTTCTTACCATTCCTTGTCATATCCTACACCTTACTTTCACACATATTTACATGTCCTACACTACAACACATGCCGGGAGAGTAGTCGGGAGCTAAGAGCTTGTTCCTGCTGGGACGGTTCCCCGCTGGTGGGAGATACCTTGTTGACGGGAAATCCCGTTGACCAACGACAGGTGGGCAACGGATCTCCCCATCAAGCAGGGAATGATCACCCCACCTCCCGCGATAAAACATGCACTAAACCGGGACTAACAACCTTGTCAGTTGACGCACCTGAATTCACTAATCAATCAACCAACCAACGAATCGATCACTCAGGCCAGACATATGGCGACGCAAAGCCCAGGAACCTCTGCTGCGTCCGCAATATAAATTACCAGGCTGTGGTAATGCGGACGTTCGCGCACTATGTGTTGCATACTGTTCTCCAGTACTGCGGAACGCTTGATGCAAATCTACGGTCTTTTTCTCAATGTTGTCTCGTGCCGCATGGGGCGGGGGGGGGGGGAAATGACCGCGGAGGCGGGCATGGTTTCTGATGGAGAGTGGCAGACGACGACCAGGTCCCTTGGTTTCACGGCGACGCTCACATCGCTATCTTCAAGGTGGAGACAAGTGAGTAGGCGAAGCTAAGCTCCGTGTTGCCGGATTCGCCCGCCTACGAGGAATGGGAGCCCTGAGCCGCCCGCTGTTTGGTTCGGGTGGCCCCCCTGTTGAGCTCTTGGCTTCGTCGTGGCAGGGGCCCCGATACTCTGAGCGTCGAGAAGGGACTCGTTTCCGGAGCATTATGAGTGGCGCGTTGATTCGACTCCGGCACCGGCCTGGGAAACAGCTCTGAGCCGGTAGGGCGGCCCTTGAATGGGAAAGTTATCGAGGGTAAACTGCGTTCTGGTGTGTCCCAGATACCAGCCAGTCGGCGTACTTTTGCGACGCGGGGTTTGAGGATAGAGACTGACGCCGAGGAGCCCACCCCGGGGTGAATTCCCCCTGATAAAACACATGCGCGAGGTAGGTGCATGGTAGGTGTATGCGAGTAGGTGCACACATATTTATCCATACACAATGTACTCGGGAGAAGTAATAGATTTCGAGTGCCCGAAATAGAAGTTTCATAATAACTTGGAGTACAGAGCGTAAATCCATGTAATGAACAGAAGTAAAAATGATCTCCGTAAAAGTGAGAGACGAAGTGCAAGTTACAAATATCAAGTCATCTTTCAGTTCGGTATGATGTCATCAAGCCTCACATGTAGAATAACGAAAGCAACGGTCGCCTACTCTCATCGAACTGCGTGTCTCTGATTGTACAGCTTACCTACTTGAAGTAGACGCACTCGTACCAATTATGCGCCTATTTTTTTTAACAAACTAGTGTTGCAA